CCTCCTCTTCCTCTTCCTCTTCCTCCTCTTCCTCTTCCTCTTCCTCTTCCTCTTCCTCCTGTAGCTGTAGATGCTGCCATCTCCGCTCGCTTTCCTCCCGTCTGACAGGCAGGAGCAGAAAGGGAGCTCGAACATGCTTGTCTCCATCCAGCGATGGTGGCGGGTCAGTGGCTGAAGCATGGCTGACTTCGGTTGAGCTGGCACATGAGCAGGAGCGGAAGGAAGCCAGGCAGAACAGGAGGAGCGAGTCGCAGCGGAGCAAGCTGGAGAGGTTGACAACTTCGCGGACAGTGCGAAGATTTTGACAAGCCGCGACTGCTGGGACAGGAAGCTTGCGAAGGCCAGGCGACAGCTGGAGTCAGCGGCGGATCAGATCTTCGAGGCAGAGGCGACTTTGAACTACACGGTGAGGCAGAGGGGACGTGACGAGCGGAGGTTGAGGGTTGACAAGACTGCTGTTGTACAGCTGAGGCTGCTCGAGGAGGCGGGTGCGAACTCGAAGTAAGAAGGTCCTGCTGGGGTCCTTCCTGACTCGCGAAGGTTCTGGGGGCAGGAGGTGAAGCAAGCGGAGGTCGCGTATGAGGAATGGACTGTGAAGTTGGAGGAACGAGGAAACTCAGGTGACGTGTGCGATAGCTGTCGACTCCTGCTCCACGTTCCTGCCATCCCCTGCTCTGCCCCACTCGTGTTCCTCTCCTTCTCTCTCTCTTCCTTCCTCTCTCCCTCCTTTGGTTCCACTTTCTCTCTTCTTCCTCCTTTGGTTCCACTTTCTCTCCTCTCCAATCTTCCCCTTCCTCCTCCCGTTTATCCTCCCCCTCTCCCCTCTGTGCCTTCTCTCTCCCCCCTCTCCTCGTCCTGCTCCCTCCGTCTCCTCCTCGTCTCTGACCTGACCTGCCCCCAGCTATTCATTCGGATGGGGTCTCCTTGCTCGTGCACCTCGAGCGAGCAGAGGAGTGGCTGCTGGAGGCGAACTCGGAGGTAGCCCGACCCTCCTCCTGCTCCTCCCCTTCCTCCCTCCCCCTTCTTTTTCCATCCTCCTCCTGCCCACCTCCTGTCCGCCTCTGTATGCCCTCTGTTTCCTTCTCTTTCCTTCTCCGTCCCCTTTCCCTTCATCTGCTTCATTCTTCTGCTCTCCTTCCTCTTGGTGTCTTATGCTATTCACCATAGGCTACTCGAGCCATGCAGACGGAGTGCGAGAGGGTGAGGAGGAGGAAGAGGAGGAGGAGGAGGAGGAGGAGGAAGTGGTAGTGGAGAGTTTGGCTGCCGTGACAGACGTCGAGCAGACGAGGGACCGAGAGGAGGCAGGCAAGAGGCTGAAGGAGGCGGAGGAGGAGCAGGTTTGACAAGCGAAGGGGCTGAGGTGGACGCGCCTGACTAGTTGGCAGTCGAGCTGGACCAAGAAGGTGGAGGAGCTGGAGAAGAAGCTGGAGGAACTGCTGGGTAATAGCGCGAGAACTGATCGGAGCAGGGAAAGGAAAGCGCATGAAGCTCTGGATAGAGGAGGGGCAGAGAGGAGGGAAGAATCGTAAAGAGGAGGAGGAAGAGGAGGGAAAAGTTGTACATAGAATAAGAATGCGAGCAGGGAGCTGTTTGATTGCTGCGTGTGAAATGAAAATGTTTCTGTTGTTTTACAACCACAAGGTCTTCGCCCCTCCTGCTCTCCTCCCCTCAGCTCCTCTACCATCAAGCGAAGATCTCGATAGCTTGCTCCTGCTGCTGTATAGAGATCATTGTGTAACCCTCCCCTCCCCTCCCCTCCCCTCCCCTCTCCTCCCCCTCGACTTGCAGTGCTTCCCTCACCCGTCCCTTCCCCTCCCCTTCACTCCAACCCTTGTCTCACCTCCGAGGAGTGGGTGATTTCCTTTTTCGCTCGGGCTGGGAGGAGGAGGAGCTTGCAGCTGCATCGCTGTTTCCCGCAGGTGAAGGATGTCCGCTAGGAACCAATCACTTCCTCTTTCCCCCTCCTCCCTCCTCCCTCCTCCCTCCTCCCTCCTCCCTCCTCCTGTCCCTCCTACCTTGTCGCTTGTCGCCATAGCGGGCAGCAAGGAGGTCGGCGAAGGCGAGCAGCACAGCAGGATGATTGGGGTTCAGCTTCAGGGCCTCACACAGGATGTCCTCCGCCTCCTAGGAGCGAAGGGTCAGCAGGAGACGTCGAGGAGAAGGTGAGAGAGACTTTGAGGTCTCCTTCCTTGACCCGTTTGTTGGCCTTCTCGCAGAGCATCAGACAACTTCTAGCCTCCTGCTCTTCCCTTCCTCGCACAGGAGCTGCTGAGGTCGAAGAACCCCTCGGGTCTCTTCCTCCTCTTCTCCCTTGATACATGTCAGCTTCATCTCCGGACACGAGCTTCCTTCTCGGCGAATTCTTCTGCAAGTTTGACGGGCTCGCTCTCTGAGGAGATTGTAACCTCGACACGACTGATGGTTGATCGACAGATGTTCGGGACTCCGACGATCGTCGTAGCCTGTCAAGTCGGTTCGGATTTCCGTCTGCCCTCGCGTGACGTTTCGACGAGGATCGCGGGCTTGCCTCATCGCAGCTGTCAACCGGCTCGTCACTTGACAAGACGTTGCAAGTAGCCGTTTCATCCTCCCCCTGCTCATCTGCGATCCTCGCAGCTTCCCAGGCCTCCATGCTGAGCCGCTCGCGGTACCGAGCTGGAACTGCCTCAGCGAGCTTTGCCATGAACCTTGCTTGAAGCTGACTGTCGCTGCAGCTCGTTGACAGCTCCAACATGTCGCGCGAGCTGCTTCTTCCGAAGGGTGCTGCTTGCTCTGACTGCTCTTCTGACGCCACCTGAAGTTCTGATGACAAGCATGTTATCGTTTTCAGCTCGCAACAGATGTCTTGTGCCAAGGAGCGTATCATCCTAAGTTGAGAGTCCTTGCCGTCCGTCAGTGCGTGCTGCTTGGTGGCTACCATCATGTCAAAGGGATAGGGAGACGGTTGAAGAAGGAGCGCGGCAGGAGAAGGAGTACGTTCAGTCTCAACCCCCGTGTCAAAGCTCAGGTCGGACATTCCTTTCTGTTCATCGCGATCACAACATTCTCTGCTGAGGAACATCTTCCGCAAGAGAGCGTCGCTCAGCTGCTCCAGCAACTCAAGGATCACCGACATCTTCTGCTGCGAGAACAAGTAGTGGTGCAATAGCGTTGACTCCAAGGCTCGGATCTGAGAGAGCAGGAACGCGTTTTCCTTGTGCAGGAGCTCGATTCTCGCATCCTTGTCTAGAGTTGGGACAGGGTTCTTCGGTTCTTCCATGTACCAAGGAACCTTCATAAACTGATGAGGACTAAGAATCTGCAAGGTCACTTGGTCAGTGAACTTCAAGTCCCCATCAGGCTGCCTCTTTCCTCTCTCCCTCCTTTCTCCCTCCTCTCTCCCTCTCCTCTATTTTCTCTCCCTCACTCGTCCTGTTCCCTACGATGCTGTTCCCGCCCTGCCGTCACTGGATCTAAGTTCTCGCCGTTTGTAGCAAACAGTACCCCTGTCTTCTACTCGTTTCAAAAGGGTAGGGGTACATTGACAAGGACTCAGTATGAATGTTTTTTTAACTGTAAAAGACAAAAAGGAAAATAAGCCTCCAATCCGCCCTTGCCCTCCTCCGCCCCCCCCCCCCCCCCCCCCCCCCCCCCACCTCTGCTCCTGCTCCTGCTCCTGCTCCTGCTCCTGCTCCTGCTCCTTCTGCTCCTTCTTCCCGCTCTCTTCATCCCTCTCCCCGTTGTTCTGGTTTTCCTCGTTGGTCTTTTCATTGCTACACAGGACATGCCTTCTGGTGGAAACAAGGTGCTATGGGGTGCATGAAGTTCTTAGGGCACAAGAACGGAGACTACTCGCAGGGCGCGCAGAGGAGGAGGAGGAGCATCGGCATGCGTAGCAGAGGGTTGAGAAGTTTGACCCTGTCACTGCTGCTCGCATGCGCCGCCTCCTCCTCTATGCACGTTCACTGTCGCAGTCCCGTCGCTGCTCTGGCCCTGAGAGGAGGCAACGGGGGAGATGAAGCAGACGTGGATCCATACGATCCCCTCCTGTACCAACAGCTCGAACCCGACGCTGAGCTGGAGAAGCTGGAGGAGGAAGAAGGAGGAGAGCACGCCGGGGAAAGAGTGACCGAGACTCAACAGCAAGCGACAACCATGGTCAGGAGGAGGAGAGGAGGGAGGAGGGAGAGAAGAGGGAGAGAAGAGGGAGAGAGGAGGGAGAGAAGAGCAAAGAGAAGAGGAGTGATAGATGTTTGAGTGGTAGAGAGAGGAGCAGGAACGAAGAGACCAGAGCCGAGGGAGGAAAGGAGATGAGTTGAGAGGACGAGGAGCTGACATGCTGCCAGGAGTTTGCTCGTCTTGCCGCTCCTTCCCACGAGTCTCAGTACAGCCCGCAGGACTTCCACGGCCCTGGCACATGGCGGTGGACAGCTGACGGGCTGCTGGTGAAGGAGGCAAGGGCTCAGGAGAAGGACGAGTTGGCTGACTTTGCCCACGTCGAGCCCAGCAAGTTCTCGCTGATCCAGCAGTTCTACTCGGCGGTGAGGAGGGAGGAGGGAGGAAGGAAGGGAGGAGGAGGGGAGGGAGAAGGGGGGGAAATGGTGGGAGAGGGGAGGGGGCGGGAAGGGGTAAAGAGGAGGGACAAAGGGGAGAAGGAGGAAGGAGAGGGTAGAGAAGAAGGCAGAGGGGGATACGGGAGGAGTAGGTGGATTGCAGGAGGAATGTTCTTACGTGTCTTCCTTGCAGGCTGTGGCTGCGGAAGGAGAAATTTTCAAAGCGTTCGAGGCTGAACCAAAATAAAGCAACGTTGCTCCTCCTCCTCCTCCTCCTCCTCCTCCTCCTCCTCCTCCTCCTCCTCCTCCTCCTCCT